GTGGGAGGAAACTGGAGGACCCCGAGAAAACCCACGAGGTTAGACAGGCGACCCTAATCCTTGTCACGTACAACCGGGGATTCGAAACCACGCCAGTTGGCTCAATGACAGGCCTTATGATACAGCGCGCACGTGCTAACCATTCGGCCATCCAACCCCCCTTTATGATAAGAAGAGAGAGGTTTATCTGATAAAATATCCAATTGATTTTGTAAATTACAGATAACTGAATTAATGTCAACAATAGGCTTAAGCGGCGATATTTTATGTCTAGTCTATTTTCCTGCTGCAAGTATATGTTCTTACCCAATATTTGACCATTTTATGTACAATGGTATATTTGATTTTATCATTTCATTTTATCATTCCAGTGCTACATGTATATCTCATTTTATTATATCATGTTATCCCAATATATTATTCCATGTAAAATATATTTTTGTTGTATTTATGTATATTGATGTATGGGTATGTTTTGTATACTGTTCTTAATGCAAATAAAAAGTTGAAATTGAAGTTATAAGTCGCCATACAATAATTGTGAATCGAGCAAGCAAACAAATAAGAAAAATCGCTCGATGACTGTGACTGTGGTGAAATCGCGTGCATGGTATGGTTAATCCATTGTGTTATGTTAATATAACGGTATGGGCTAATCCGATCCATCAAGGGATTTACGGTGGCTAAGTGAGTAAGACGCTGGCTCAATTCCTGAGAAATGGAGGCATGTTATTGAAAATCATTCTTATGATAATACTTGTAATACCAACGATGAAATTGTTTTTAAAATTAATGATTTATTAGTTAAATCAAAAGATATTACTTCTAAATATTGTTATAAATTATTAATTAATAATACTGATTCCCATCTCACGTTTTATTATTTCTGGGAGGACAACTCGTGTTTGTCATGTTTGGCGTCACTTCCCGTTTCTTCACATGCTTGTTAAAGTTATATTTGGGATGGATTTAACCACTTCTATCACATATTTTATAATGACTGACACCAATATTGTCCTTTAAGTCTAAGATAGTCACTTAACTACTAGATTTCACTTAAATATACGTAACTTCCTGTAAGTTAAGGTTAAGTGGTATTTAAAGGCAGTGTTAAGTATCGAATTTTCCTTTAAAGTTAAGCTGTCTTAACTTATAAGTGTTTAATCTTTTAGTGGTATTCAAAGGCCAGTTTAAGTAAAAAAAAATCCACTTAACTTTAAGTGACCTATAGGAGGTAAAGTTAAGTGAGATTATAATGACTTCTTTTTACCGCAGTACACAATGTAGTAACAGGGCCGTAATGGCGATTTTAAAAGTTAGGGAATTGAGATTGAAACAAAGACAACTTAACTTGTGTGCGACGTGAGTAATTGGTGATTTTTGGCAGTGGAGGTTATTCCATAAGTTAGAAATTCATGCTTTTTGGCTATTGTTGGTATTCCATATTTTAAGTCTGCAGTTAAGTTTTTCCATAGCCAAGTATATGTAAAATTGAGCCTTTGAATACCGATTTAAGGTAAGACACTTGGTTAAGTGGAAAAATTGAGTACTTTTACTTAACTTTAAGAAAACCTTTGAATACGGACCCTGGTATATATCAATAATATCAAGAATATATGTCGTAAAACTTAAAATATCACATCACAGAATCCATATACAGATGATCAGTCGAAAACATTTATCCATAAGAACTTTAAAGATCTACATATCTATTTTGGACCAAAGCTAAGCAGAGCTGAAACACGACTTGTCACTTGCCGCCATTATCTAAAGGGGTATTTCGTCTCTTATATTTATACCCTGTCGCTATCGACAACTTAATGACTCACCCTCTCTTCTCACGACAGCGAATTTTAACACCCGTGTTTTTAAGCGTCACTTTGATATACAAGAATTTATATTACGCCTTAATTAAATCAACCCGTTCATAATGTGTGGGACGATTTACCCAATACTACCCAATACCACACAAAAAACACACAATACTACGACATAATGAAGCAAAATGGACATATCCTTTGATTTTAATCAAAAATTGAGAGTTATATCGCGGGAAATGTACTTTTATAGTACATATTTTCATATACATGTAATTCCTTATCTAAACTGACTAATTGCTTTAAAGTGGATAAGTTAATCTTTACCCCGAACCCTGATCGTTCTAATCTGAAAGCTCCATTAAAAGCTTTATCTACAAACCAATCCAAATTATCGTTAAGATCTGCATGTTGAAGCATAGTATACAAAGTACAAAAATCGAACGTTTCTATTATTTTTGCATTTTTTTATTGATTTTTTCTAAAATGTCTAGTATAGGTTTATTTCTATTAATTATGAAAAAACTATTAATTCCAGTATAGCTACGAAGTGTTCTGCACCAAATGGCATGTAGGGTTTGGCATAATTTAAGTCCGTTGGTGATAGTCGTTTGGCTAATGGCTAATGGTTTCGTTTGGCAGATAGATACTGGGGGATATTATAGATCTGAATTTTACTGGGTTTATGGAATTTAGGTATAGAATACATGTAAGGTAGTGCATCGATTTTCACATTGTTTTTAATATCATTACTGATGTAATCATGATAACAATGGATTGATGATTGGTATAAAAATCATATAGCAAAAACGATTCGTGTGATTATTTCAATTTAAAATCTGTCCATAGGGTTAAACATTTCTAGTCGTTTAAAACAGTTCACTTTTACGTTTAAAATCTTATGCATTCTGTAGTGCATTAAAAGTTGTTCATGTGTTGGATAAAATGTACCTGTAAATAGACGATATATGGATGCTGTTGGTGGTGGTGTGGGTGTCTGTGTACATTACTCTTTTCCTGTTATATATGTTGAGACGCTTGGGAATAATCCAGGTAACACTACCAAACAAAGTGCATTATTTTTATCTGCACAGCTAAATTAATGATAATGAATTGACACCAATCGGCCAAAGTAGCAAAATTCGGTTTTCTTTGAATAATTCAAGAGTTGGCAGCATTTAATTGATATGGATTATTTATTTATCATATGTAGACATGACTAAATTTATCATATGTAGACATGACTAACATCTTATTCCCAATTCCAACTGTGAAGGTTCTTTGACGTGTACGCCAATGTGTACACGGTATCTCGGGTTTTCGTTCTTTCCGAACGACGGTTGTCAATAATTGCCAGGTACCTCGACAAGCAAAAGGGGGAACCACGCCGGAAAATCCCGATGAACTTTCTCGACCAACAAGAGCTAGCGTTAGCGAGCTAGCGTCTAACTCACTGAGCCACAGTTGCCCCTAATTGACTTATGAAAAGGATGCCTCGACAGTAAATAACCATTTTACGAGAAGCTCGAAAAACAAAATGAATTGTTTCGTGACATAAGTGAAAATGGTTTTTTTACTGCCGAGGCACCCTTCTTATAAGTAAATTGAATAAAATAAACCATTTTACTTGACAAATGGACAATAATTATAATTATGAGTAAAAATTATATAATTTGGTTTGAATCCCGAATAACGAAACATGTTTGGATTGGGCCTGCAACCGGAAATGAAAACACTTCCTAATATTGTTTAGGAAATAAAATGAATTTATTAAAGCAATATGTTTCATTTATTGATTTATTACCATGGCTGCCATGTTGCATATTTTATAAATCAAATTTTATAAATATGGTGGATTACCTCATCAAGAAACAGAGTGAGAAAATAAAATTGATCAAAGTTATGGATATGTTTAAATTTATTGATTTATTCGCATGGCTGCCATGATGCATATGGAAATTAAATTTGATACATATGGTGGATTACGTTACCAGGAAACAGAATAGAACAATACAATTGCACGACAATAATATATAGTTAGTCCAGCCCTAATATCGCCTTTCCAGTTCACAGTTATAATAGGAACTGGACAATTACGCATCGATGGACGGACTTTACATGGTCGGTTTCTAGCCCATATCGTCCTTCGGAAAAACGGCTCACTAGCCTGGAGGTTGCGTGTTCGATACTTGCATTGACCGAGAAATTTCATTGGGATTTTCTGCACCGTGGTTTCCCCTTGCCAGGGGTGAAGGACGGAGGGCCTGACATGGACAGGTGTCTAATAGTTCAAATGGGATGAAAAAACGAGGTCCCGTGTTACATTGGCGTGTACGTAAAAGATCCCCTGGCAGTTTGTTAGCACGTGCACGATGTATCGTGAGGTTTGTCATTGAGTCATCTGGCGTGATTTCGATTCCCTGGCCTGTCCAACCTCGTGGTTTTTCCCCGGGCCCTTCGGTTTTCTGCCACTGCTAAAGGCCCCTGCGCGCAAGCTACGTATTAAAATAAGATTTAACCATATGTTAATCTCCCCCCCCCCCCTCTCTCTCTTTCTCGCAACATCACAAAGTATGTCTAATGACACAAAATAAAATAAATCTTCTATTATATACGGACTATTATATACTTTTTAATTTACCGCCTTTTTTAATTCCTGTGGTGAAAACGACTCTACGTACACCTACAAGCATCCATGCGATATCTATATATGTGTTGATATATATATATACAGGTGTCAAATTATAGAGGTATATCATTGATACCCGTACCGAGTAAAGTTTACTGTCACATTTTAAATACTACATTAAATAAATGGTTAGAATTTGATATCGGATTGGCAGAATGGTTTCAGGAAACATCGAGGATGTTCAGACCACATTTATTCATTATATAACATAATTAATGATAGAGCAAAAAATCAACATTTATATGTCATGTCGACTTCAAATCAGCGTCTGATTCCCCCTTATTTGGGGTATAAACTGGAGCGTACTGGTATTAGTGGATAGAATAAATTATTATTATTATTTATGTTCGCCTATCATGTTTCGTCAATGACTCCATGAATGTTTTAAGCCATCGAATTTGGGCCCTTGTTAAATCAAGCCCTCAACCTCCACATCCTGTTTCACGTAATATAGGCTACAGGCAACTGCCAATCCCACATTCGTTTATGAAAAAGGAAGTAAGGTTCGCTTCGTTGAATTTAATCAGTTTATTTGTGGATATAGATTTAAAGTAACCTCATACGTGAAATAGTATCCAGGTATATTGGTATATATATAGGCCAAAGGTGTAACATTAGACAGGTGAGTTAATATTGAGTAATAGTTTACACAATAATGATAAGATAATTCAGAAGACGATTCCATTGACTGGTATTTTGTTTTTATTTTCCTTGATTTTTATGTTTCAGATAAACACTCAACTACCTAAACACCATGACAGCTAATGTGTTGAGATTTTATCTACTTTTAACGTTTCTTCCAACGGTAAAGATGTACACTGATCTACCGAGAAGCTGTTCCTGTAGCAATGGTAGGACGAATACAGGTGTGGACGTAGATTGTTCTCATGGCGGATTTTCTACTGTACCTGATAACTTACCTGTAAATACGACTTACCTGTATTTAAATAACAACAAGATAAAACATCTGTTAAATAATCAGTTTGTGAAGTTAACCAACTTAAAATATCTGAATTTGAGTTTCAACCCGATTAGTGATATCCATGAAAATGCTTTCAACAATCTATATCAGCTTCAGGTGTTGCAACTCAATGGACATGATCTCAACTATTCCCATCAATCACTACCAGATGAAGTCTTCAAACCCTTGACATCTTTAAAACGTTTAAGTATCCGATCACAGGTCAAATATACAGGGAATATCAAACAGTTTACCGCAACGAGCAAGGCGTTCGGCTATTTAATTAATTTGCAACATCTTAGTGTTGATTCTTGGATCATCGAGAAATTTAATTTGGGTTTCTCAAAACTTTTTAATCTACAAGAACTGGATTTGTCAAGCATAGATTATACTGAATTTAATTGTCAACTACCTTATATTACTAATAATACTTTCATTGTCTTTAAATCAATTCCGATTTCAACTATAAATTTAAAAGGGTGTGTACTTTATTATATAGACAAGGATGCCTTTGCTCCATTACCGAGTCTTGTCAACATCGTTTTATCGACGGCATTTGAATCTAACCTTGCTATACCTGATCTTATACCTACATTACATGTATTTAAAAACAGAACACTCAAATCTGTAAAGATGGTTAATTGTTTTCCTCATTTCTGGTATTTTCATGTATCGGGTTATCCGTTATCCTTAGACATACTTTCTGATATTTGCATAGAGTATTTAGATCTTTCCAACAATCAAATAAATATGGTAGACTTCTCAGCTTTTTTGACAGTACCTATACCACGTTTAACAAAGTGTTTGAAACATTTGGATTTATCAGGAAATATTATATCAGGCAAAATAACACACCCACTTGATTTTTATCTTCTGTTTCCTAAATTTGTAAATCTCGAATATTTAGATTTGTCAAATCAAAAAAAATTTCAGATGGGTGGCAATATAGGGTTTCATGATATAGAAACATCGAATGTTAGAGTTCCAATTCAGTTGCCCAAAAACCTCAGATATCTGTACGTGGACGGACTAGTTTGGCGTTTGGGAACGTTACCAATCACTAATTGTACCGGCGGGTCAAATATGATTTCTCTTAATATGTCCTACACCAGATTAACCTTTTCCTCAAAAAGCAAAATTATTGGTTTAGAAAATTTACAAATTGTGGATTTTACTGAATGTAATTGCCGTTTTATAGATCAATCGTTTTTTGACACGTTTCCAAATTTAACCACCATGAGATTGAGTAGTGTTAACCTAGATAATGATGTTTTTTTTAATATTGGTAAAAGACTTTTTAAACCTTTGAAAAACTTACAAAATTTAGATCTGACTAAAAACCTTCTGCGTATCCTACCTGCTGATATATTTGATGATCTAACTGAATTGAAAACAATTTCTTTATCTTTTAATAACTTGGTCTCCATTCCTGATTTGTCAACACTTGTAAATTTACATAATATATATCTCAGTTATAATGCCTTGGCTATCGTTGATGAACAGACCCGAAGTACATTGGATAAACTTACATCAGACAAAAATCCTATACACGTATCATTGTTTGGAAATACGTTTAGTTGTACCTGTGAATCGTCAAGTTTATTGGCCTGGTTTTATCAAACAAGAGTAGATTTAGATGGTAGAAATTATTCCTGTATAGACAAGATGGGTAAAAAAACGACAACACGTCTCATCACCAATCATTTCCGAGCTTTACAACTTCATTGCGTTTCCAGTACTTGGTTAACAGTAGCCGTGACTGGAATAAGTTTACTTCTTGTGGCTTTGTTGACAAGTTTTGTGTTCGTTAAAAACAAACTAAAGATAAAACTGATTTTGCTACGAATGATCGGACGTTATATAAAACCCAGAAGACGAGAAGAGTTCCTGTATGACGTATGTATTCTGTATGCGGATGACGTGTACCAGTGGGTGTGTCACGACCTGCGTGTAGAGCTGGAGCTCACACGAGGATAAAAACTTTTTATTCGTGACAGAGATGAGATTCCTGGTGAAGATAAGCCTGTTGAACTTTACAACACCATGAATTCTAGTTGGAGAGTTGTTCTAATTTTAAGCCCATGGTTTCTGGCGTCGGACTTTGCATCAAGCACTATGTCCATGTGTTTATCGTTTAAAACTTTGACTACACCGAATCGATTAATGTTGATTATGGACAGTAATATGAATATACCAACTAATATAGATTTCTTTCTAGAGTCTGTTAATGAAGAAAATATTTACCATTATGTTATAAATAATAATGGACATGATGACCGACGTTTCTGGAATAACATCTATCATGGAATAATTGCCGCTAATAATAACATGGATATAATACGGTAAATATCTGTATATTAAATATTATTGATATAACAACATCAAAGATACATTATGGAAGATTAGATAAAAAGTTGACAGTTCTCACTATAATACTTAAAAACTGGATAATGTAAACGGAACATGCTGACAATTTCAGTCAAATTGCTTCACTGTGAGCCGAGAAAAACTTTATTTTAAAATCACTGTAACCTCGATTGTCATTGTTACTGCTGTCCAGATTATGCATTTTTGCGGTTAATCATCAATGGGGGGGGGGGGGTGAACAGCAGATCGGATTCAAATCCAACGAAAATCGGACACATAAGATAGCACCGTGAATTGATTATGGTCTGAATGAGTTAATTAATGTCTAATTAATAATTTAAATAACATTTCAGACCCAATGAAAGACCTGCAATAGACAGATTAAGCTCTTGCATAATGTTTGTTTAATATGATTAATACAATGACGTCATTATTAATGTGACGTCATAATGTATGTTTAAATATACATTTTACTCTATCTTACTATAGCATATATTATTCTTTAACACACAAGGTTTTTTTAATGTCTATATTATTATAATAAATTTATCTTCCATTCAGTGATATGTTTTTGCCTCCAGTCTTTTTATTTAAACAGGAAGTTTACCCCGACCTACCGTACCAACCGAGTACTACCTCAACTGAGAGAGAAAGGGAGAGAGAGAGAGGGGGGGGGGGGGGACTTAACGTCAACCCGACACAAAAGGTGTCATTTCGGGACGAACATGTGGTTAAATCTTATTTTAATAAGTAGCTTGCATGTATGGATCCTGAGCTGTGGGCTGAAATCGGAGGACTCGGTGGAAATCCACATGGTTAGACAGGCGACACTATTCGTTTTCACGTAAAAGCGCGGAATCGAAACCACGCCACTGGACTCAACTATAGATCTTATGATCGAACGCGTTAACCATTGCCCCCCACCCTCCCCAGTCTTTTGTTGCTGTAGGCAGTGATTCGAAAACTTCATTTCTATAAACACATCTATGACGTAACCTATTGATATGGTATGACGTTATGCTACCCCCATTTACAATTTCCTCGATTCTGATTGGTCGAAAAGTGTGATCGAATTGACAATAAACCCCTCTAAATTGACAAGGCGAATTACTGCGTATAAATATTAGTGTACTTTTTTTTCATTATTGTGCTCAAAGATCTTGATCAACTCAAATCTTTATTGTAGCCCAAAATGGAAATTTCTTCGATTCTGATTGGTCGAAAAGTGGCGCCGAATGAGTATAACAATCCTCTAAATTTCTGGGTGCTAGACTGTTTGCAGTGGCCAAAAATTCTTCACCTCAAAACATTATTCTAGGAAATCTGCATGAATTATTTTTGTATGTCATCAACAATGAAATTCAACCATTTGCTTATTGAAACACACACCTGAAACACACAAAAAACAAAGTTAGTGGGTGTATTTGAAAGATAATAAGTAAATTTCATTTTAAGGCTGGTCTGACAATAATGGTTGCTATGGTCGAAGATTTTCAACAGATGAATAAAAATACTACAATTTATTGAACTCCGTATGGACCGTAAATAACTGATTGGGATATATTTTAACATAATTCAATTTGGCGTTCTTCAGAAATTATCGAGAGCGCTATATCGTAATCAGTGTCTTTTAGTGGTGGTAGGATAAATAATTTATTTTTAAATTCCTCAAACACAGAGTGGTTATGCAAGCGAAGTGTGTCGAAAAATCGAATTTGACAAACATCAATTTAAAAATGTATTTTTCATTTGATGGCGGGCATTTCTTTCAAAATGACTGCCAAATTTGTAAAAAAAACAATTGAAAAAAACCCATTAATTTGGTAATAAAAGGGCAGAAATTCAAAAATGGTGGAATTTTCATTGTCATTTCTTTCCGTTTGGTATGACTTGTAATATGTGGTATATTAATCCCGAAATGACATAGTTGCTCTTAAATGAATATATTGTTAAAGCGCTTTAAACATCTAGATGCAATAGACAAGGTGTAGAAAATTCAAGCTACATTGAAATGTTGGCAATAAAGATCGAATCATCGTTTTTAGTTATACACTGTTAACCACCCGTAGATGTTATATATCACATAATTTATTCAGCTCGACGCAAGATTTAAAATGAATAGATGCGGTTCGTTTAACTTGAATGTAGATATTATAGCATGTGTATATATAGGACCTTTCGGTTGAATCATATCATAGGAATATCTTATTTGCATAGTTTTACGTATTTGTCGAAATTAAATGAAGGGAAATGAACTGGGGTTTAACGTCCTACTGTTCCGCTCCTATGCTGGGCTAATGAAGACGGGCATAGGCCATACAGTGTGCTACGAGGGAAATTTTGCCGGGGCAGCGGCACTATCGCCTACTCTTATATCGAATTCCAACTGCCAAGGGATCTTTTACGTGCATTCCAATGTATACACGGGACCTCGTTTGTTCGTACCATCCGAAGGACTAGACAGCTGTCCTTGTCGTTCCCTCCGTCCTGCATCACTGACAAGGGCAAACCACGCCGGAAAATCTGGATGAACTTTCTAGGCCAATGCAGGGATCGAACACCCGACCTCCAGGGTAGCGAGCCAGCGTCTTACCTACTTAGCCACGTGATCCCCTTGTCGACATTAGGGTGAACGTGTTCTATAGTTCCATTTAACCTATACATTTTCTTGTTTCACTTGACTAAACAAAACATTTTGTAGGAATGTAGGCTTTTATAGATTAAACAAAAAGCTGATAAATGTTGAGATGTGTGGAACATGCTCGAGGCGATTTGTAACAAATCTCAGCCACGATATACTCTTCAAAAAAAAAGTAGGGAATATTAAAATGCAAATACCTATGCAGGTATTATGAATTAGCCGTCGCACTGCAAGAGGAGTGGGTCAGATTGCCCCAAATCGTGACTGGACGGTTGATTAGGAGCATGCCACGACGTGTTGCTGAATGCCCGAGGATTGGTGGAGCAATTACTCATTTTTAAGACACAAATCAAAAACGTTCATTTTCACTTTTGACGGTGTATCTATTTGCGAGTGTAATGGGACCGTCAGATAAGCCGCCCATATGAAATGTTTATATTCATGTGTAGGGAATTGGCCTGTTATTAACATACACTGGTTACCTCTAATAAAAACAGCAGTGCATTTCCGCAGTTTTGTATTGTTTCTGAATATCCCCTACTTTTTTTGAAGAGTATATATTTGATACTAGTTGAGCATCAAAACAACATGATTATTTCACTGGAAATGGGACGCAAATACCTAAAGGTGTCGGACAAACTCTAAAGCAACTGCGTCTTCTTCACTGGGCCCCATCAATGTATGTCTACCTGTGGAATAACATGTACATTATTTGTATCTGTTAAATTTGTGAGGTTTATTATTATTTACTCATGGGCGGGGAGAGATAACGTCTTACCTCAAACAAATTGCAAAAGACACCAGGAGGTTTCGTAGAGCGATATCTCGTCTCACATGTCACTGTTGAAACATATGCCCGAAACACATGTTACGCTAGATACCTTTTATTTAAAGGAGCTAAATCGCTAATATTTGGGACTTACAAATTGACACAAATGGGTCGCAACGTATATAATAATGCAATATGAATGTAAATAAACTGATTTACATTCAATCCAATGACAATCTCTTGCGTCTGGTTATTTTCCAGTCCACACCGATAGTATTTATTGCGCATGCTCTCCAGATAAGAATTTGGAGTCACCGTTTGACAAGACTTGTGGAATATGTCTAACCTCGTTCTTCGAGTCAGTTGCTACAATTTGCGCTGAAATGCATTATGGTACACGATTCGTGTACCAATCGTAAAATGTTTATTTTCTCTTAAATATTGGATATCAGAAGCCCATCTTTTTCCGGTAAGATCACAACACCAATGTTGATTAAAATTGACAAATAATTCGTGTTTTCATTGTCGACCGTCAACTATCGCGAAAGAACGAATTCCAAGAAAAATGTTAAATATTTTGGGCTACAATATCGATAAACACCGCTTAAAATTTTCATTAGAGGCGCTCGATCGTTACGCGATCTCGGCTTCTAATGATTTAAGCGGTATCAAATGGACAATAACAGTCCTCTAAATTCTAAACAGTCGGTGTTAATCGCCTAATTGTCAAATATCTTCAAGAAATCATGCACACTTGACTATCACACCATCTTCAAACGTCATCTTTTATGAAAACACATTTCTAAAAAACCTAAAACAGTACAAAATCAGTCACAAATTAAGTAAAAACATTTTCAGTTATCCAATTATATTCGTAACTAGGCAGTGACAGTATGGACAAGGGATCTTTTACGTGCACTCCCAATGTTTACACGGGACCTCGGTTTTTCGTACCATCCGAACTAGACAGCTGTCCTTGTCAGGCCCTCCGTCCTGCATCACTGACAAGGGGAAACCACGCCGAAAATCTGGATGAACTTTCTCGGCCAATGCAGGGATCGAACACCCGACCTCCAGGCTAGCGAGCCAGCGTCCTACCCACTTAGCCACGTGATTCCCCCAATTACAGATGACACTCGTCTCTAAATACCGCAATAACATTAATTTCTCGTTATTTTAAAAATCTTCGAACGTGAAAAAAATACGAAACAGGAAGTGTTTATCTCCTAAGTGTAAGAGGAAGAGGAAAAAACATTTAATAGAGTGTGACGTGATAAATTGACATAGTTAAAGGGTGTATGACTATGTTTGTAACCTTCAGATAGATAAAAATGTGCCTAAACGCATATA